AGCAATGGCAGATTGTTTTCAGTCACTCTACAGAACTTCCTACACAAACACTCTGAATGGCACAGCTAAAAAAAAAAAATCATTGTTTCTCCTACAGATTTGCACTCTATCTTGCCTGTACGCATCTAATTGCAAGTCAACTCAACGTCTGCTGTCTGTCCCTCAGGACCCCTATGGAATACCTGCAGGTCCTTCCCATGTCCCTACATTCTCAACTGGTTTCTTCCTCATTCCTTGCCCATTCCTATTTTTAAGGAGCTCCCAGATAGAACTGCAACATGATGTGGCCAATTGTGGTCAGCCTGCATGTGCTGGGTAGCTCAACATGTAGAGGACCACTCAACTGAAAAACTCGCCCTACACTGAAGACACCAATCCGTTTCTTCCTAATTTTAATTGCTCAGCAGTCAGCATTGAGAAGTTTCAAGAGTGAATTTAAAGGCAGAATATAAACCTCATTTTCTTTGGCTGAAAAACAGAGGCACATGGATGCTGATTTCAGTATCAACATCAATACTGATGGGTTTTTCCTCTCTTCCTCAGGATTGTATGTGTCAAATGACCTATAGCTAATCACTTAATTATCCTGGCCCACTACTGGGTAATTCTTAGGTCTCCATCCTAAGGAAATATTCAGTTCTATCTGCGCTCACAGTTTGAAAACTGTTCTAATATTTCTCAAGCTTCACTTGGCATCTGGTCTCACAGCTGCCTGTGTCTACTTTGGACCCATGGAAAGGAGGAATTTGCAGTGACCAGTTTGAAGCATTAGAAAACAGCCCTTCAGAATTCTTTTGCAGACTTTAATCTTTTCCTCTAAGAAATGGATAAGGCTTTTGTTGGTATAGAAACCAATAACATATCACTCTTTGCAAGAAAACAAGGATTTGATCTTGGAAGACAAGATTTGTCAAACAAGTGTAATGGTTAGACTCAGCCTACCCACAGAAGTCAATTATTACAGATTAATGTTTGTTATTAAAACTAATTTTGTGGATCCTTACACTTAGCTCTAACTGCTGTTTGAAGGAAATATCTTAAGGAGTGTTTTGGCTCTCATTCGGTATCTCCTGGCTTGAATGAGGTAAAAAAAAAATCATTACCTAGAGTTTTGGTTTTTTAAAGTTGCCAAATTTTTGTTCTATTGAAGGCTATGTTTGCATAATAAAACAGGTATACAAAGCAACTGCAGTAGGAATGTTTTGAACATACACAACAGGCATTTCTCATAAAATATACATTTCTAGATTTCCAGAGCTTCCTGTGTCGTATCTGGACTAGAAAACTAGGGTTTATGCCTTTGAAGTTATGACCATTAAGTATCCCAAATATTTAATATTTATCATTTAGTATTATTTATTAGTCCCCTCTGTAGGGGAATCCAAGAGGGGACTAATAGGCAGACATATGACCACTTACCAAGGTGAAAAAATTACTTGCCAAGCTAAAAACAAACACCAAACCCCTTGCAGACACGGCAAGCAGAACATGCTGGAGGCAGGTCAAGACAAAACCACCGTTACAGCAGCCAATTTGACCAAACTCTAATATAGTCCTGATAGGAGGAACAAATCATAGATCTAAATCCATGCTTAATCCAGGTTTTCCAGTTCCTCCTGCCTACAGTGCAGCCCTTGTTTCCTAACACCAAAAAAGTATCTATTCATGTAACTTGCCTATGTTGGCCAAGACTTCATACCACAATTTCAAGATCAGGTAGGAATGCTCAGTGAAGGCAGAAATAAGTTGTTACCATTTCTGATTAAAAGGTGGGTTTTTTTCCAGATAGTACCTAGTCTCCTTTTTGTTGCAAAAGATACTAATTCTGCTTTACTCAGAACCCAATTCTTAGATCTATAAGCTACTGCATTTTTACTACTGAATTTCCTAAAAAAAAAATCTATTTTCTATAAAAAATAAAATTGTATGTTTCAAACAATTAATATACAGAAGTAAATCTTTTTAAACTGCAAACATTTACTTGCTGTAACAAAAATGCTGTTATATCAACAATAAAAACCTGTAAATGCATTCTAGTTTTTATAGTGCATGGAAACTCTAAGGCAAAATACAACAAACACAGTATCTTAGCAATGGAAATCTTTATCAGTGTTCAGCCCCTACAGTCAATCACTTAATGCTTATATACGTCCCATTGTTTTTTATTTGGAGCTTAACTTGTAGTTGTTAAAGCTGCAAAATAAACTATGAAAACCAAAAAAACATAGATCAGACTGGATTTTGCCCCCCATCTCCAACAAAACAGCCAATGCTAGGCTTTCTGATATTTTCAAACCCATAAGAACAGTAAAATAGAAAAAATGAAGGAAGGGAATTAAATCTATTTTATCTTTTATTTTTCTGTATTCCTTTATCTATTTAAAGAGAAATTACCAGTTTGAAGGAAATTCTATTTAGATGTTTTTTCCTTTTGCTTTCCTAGGGAGTTTGCAAATGCTGCCTGTTTTTTCCTTGCATTTTCATCAAGAGAAGAAATTCTTCTGAAGACTTTACTTTTTCCTTTCTTAAAATGGAAGTTTTTCTTATTTTTCTTCTGGATTAGCAAGCAAAGGCAACAAATGCAATCAACTGTTTTTCTATTAGCTGCACATTTTTCAATTGCTGAATGCATAATGTAACTAAATGGTATGTTTAAAATTATGGCAACTAGCTCTTCTAAAGCAGTATTGTAAGTCGTAACAGCAGTGTCACAATTTTATGCATAAGAGAACTAGTGGTATAGAATAAAGTGTTGCTTTATTCTATTACCCTGAAAATTTTAGCTGCTCAACACCTTCTCTGTGCTCTGAGAGGAATTTAAGGAACAATGCAGTATGCTGGAAGAAGTAAAAGTACCAACTAGACAGGATGCATGATAAGAACCATACAGGTATATTTGTGAAATTTCTATGTTCTGTATAAATTATAATCGCAAAACTGGTTTTGCCACCTTCACAGCCTGCAGTAATTTGTGCAAGCATAAGGAATTATTTCAGTTACATTCTGATATGGTTCTGTATCCCCTTTGCTTCTTTCACCTACTCTGAAATACTGCTGAAATATCTGATCTGTACAATATTTAAGTGTTTAGCCTATTCAGAATTACAGTATAGTAGCACAGACATATGGCAGGACATCTTAAGAAAATTCGTATCTTAAGTATTCAGGACATACCTGTATTTCTTTCTCATTTAAATGAAGCTAAGAAAACTTAAAATGAAGACATTTTACTGTTCAGAGCACATCGCAAAACTGTTAATGTTTCATTTAAATCATGATAAAGATTTCCCTTTGACCATTTCTTTGGTAAAAATGGCTTTGTCACATTTGCTTCATCTGCTAGTAAAAGGCATTTTCTTTGGTGGAAATACTTTTTTGGTCTTACAAATCCAGCTTTGTAACACTTAGATAATAGGCCCATTCTATACTACCTGTTCATTTCAGTGAATGCAAGGTTAGTTCAGGACGTTAACTTACGGCATAAAATCAAACAGATCAGTCATAAAACAACAGGAAGTCTGATCATGTAAAAACCGCCCTTTAGTAGTAAAATGACAATGTTACAGACAGCAAAGGTCTAAATGCAGAATACATTATTGTCTGTATAAAGTGAGCAGTTTCACAGCTATTTTAAAAGCATCTTATTTCTCATAAGTGTAGAGGAGTTTACTTAGAAGCATAATGGATGTTTAAAATGCATAGCCGCATACATTTTCTGTAGCTTTTGATGACTTCCAGTTCTCTTGGGTTAAATCTCCTGAATTAAAAAAGAAGAAACACATTTCCTTAAAACATTAATTCTATTATTTTCTGCTTAATATTTTCCCATATTTGTTTGAAAATAAACTTAACTCCAGTTTATATTTTACAATTTTTTTTTAAATGGTCCAATCTGCAGATCTGAATGTGATTCACTGTCATGTGCCAAAGGGACTTTACAAGAACGGACCTTAGATCCAATATGGGATAAATCCTTGGGAACCTAAGTCACAGCAATCAAAACAAGTACAATAACATGCGGGAAACAGGAGAAAATATACTCTTGGAAAGTATTTGTTCTTGATTGTTTTCTGATTTGTTACGCCCTCTTATGAACTTTATCTGACACTTTTGTTTCTATTCTTTAAAACAAAGGGTATAGAAACAACCTTCCTTCAGTTGGATGGCTTGTGATGAAGAAAAACAGTACCAGCAGTGACATGAATGCAGAGTCACTCACACCTCTCATCTTGAGATGAGAGATTGGGGTGCCAGATGCAGAGGGGAAATAAGGGGAAATAGCTAGAGCATGTAGCATTGGTCCTCAACTGACAGACCATCCTCTGACAAGCATTTCCAGCTGGCATAAGTAGAAGCAGCCTGTAATTAGACTGTAAAGAGGGCAGAGAATCAGGGAAGTTCATTATGTAGCTTCCACAGGGCTACATATCCTCTGCTTCCTTCTTCTACCATGAATCTCTTCAGTCATCATCTATTAAGCTCTGTCTTCTTTCCTAAACTCCTATTATCCTTTGTTTCATCTCTCTGGTTCTTTCACATTCCCCACTTGCTATTACACTTGCATCCTTCCTCCATAAACTCACTCAACACACAAAATACAGCAATACAGCCTGAAAGAGCAGGATTTTGGATACATCAGCAATTTGTATGCATCTCAGCACCTACCCTGGCATTCACAGAAATGTTTCATGATCAGGAACCAAGCAATTAAGCAGGTTAATCTGGGTCTATTTTAAGGACTTCATGGGTGAACCAAAGTATTAAACCACAATGATGATAGCATTGAATTAAAAGGTTTTGGACTCACTTTCTTGCTGTTATTACATCACAAATGACTATATATTGGTTTATCTAAACAATGGTTCTACTACTATGTTCTTCCCACATAAAAAAAAACAGATTGGGATGGCACAGTGGATTTCTTTGTCCTTGTATTAGGCTGCTCAGGAGAAAAGTAAACTCTGGTCTCCCTTTCATCTCTTACCTTTTTAGGAACCAGATTAAATTCTTCTGTGTCTAGCACTACTGTTTTCCAGACCATTGCTTTCTTCTGATTTACTATAAGAGAGAGATGTTAAATTCCAAAACTCAACTTTTAAGTATAGGATGAGCACAGTCATTCCAGTCCCACAATCCAATCACAGAGTACATCTAAAATGTATTTGATTTTCTCTTTTAGCATGTGAAGTTATAAGAAAAAAGATGAAACAAAATTTAAGCAACCAAAATACTGACTCTTGAAGTGTTTTGGCCAAGTAATAAAGGATTAACTCGATCCCCCTCAAAAATCCCACAAAGTTCTGGGCAGAAGTTAACAGTGATAATATTCCCAGAAATGATTGCTGTACTATCATTTCATTCAGTGTATAGAATTTGTATATAAAGTGCATGCTCAAGTTATATACAAGCAATATACAGCTCAACATCCTCAGAACACAGGCTGAAACAGTCACATGATTGCTCCTTCTGGAGCACCTACAACTAGCTATATGGTGTTGGTCACAATCAAGACTTGAATTAACAATTTTCTCACTAAAAAAAAAAAATCTGTTTCTGAATCACCGGCCTCCCACCTAATACATTGTTGGATGTGACTTTTTAATCATAGACTCATCAACCAAGTTCAGCTGTATATGTATTAGTCACTTGACATAACAGACCAGAAAAGTTCCTCTGGAGCCATTCTCTCTGGTACACAAATCTATCTTCTGAACAGCCAGTAGTTGGAACAACTTTCAGTTATTAAAATCAGGCAGGAAGTACATGGTTTGATAGATTTGCCTCATATGTGTTTATCTAAGAGAGAACTCCAAAGTAAAGATCAAGCAGCTGATCAAAACCACATCCCACATCTCATCAAGCATGACAACATTATTTTAGTGCACTATACTGTGTTACAATCCTATTGCAATACAGTTTCAGCATGTTTATAAGAAGCAGGGCTGTGCAACAAGGGCAATTATTCAATTTTCAACCCAAGACATATCCCCAAACAGCCAGCAATATAATAGCATACTATATTCCCAAGACATATCCCCACCTTACGGTATAATTGAATTACAGCTTTAGAGGTGTTTAGATAAGGAGAAAAGCACTAAAATATGTTTTCAGCTAGCACTGGAAAAAAGAATGGAAAGTGAATACAACACAGGGAAACAAAGGTCACTGCAGCAAGAAATTCAAAAAGGGAAAGACAGCACTACTCAGAGGGACAAGAAAGGGAGATAAACATAGGAGGACAGAAGGGACTGAGGGGAAAGAAAACTGGAGTAGACTGGACACATAAAAAGAGGAACTACTAGGCTGCATCTTAAAACAAAAGGAGAGTTAACAGGCCAAATGAAGTGACTGGGCTTCAAAGGATGGGCAGAGGGAGAGAAATATAGCTTATTTTAGCAAGCAAGCCTTTAGAAATGCATCACCCTAAGGAGGGGGGAGCCAGCATGGGAGCACCACTCCTCAGGCAGCAGAACAGCAACAGAAGTGCCTACACCTGCCCCTTTGGCTCCAGTAGTGCAGCCATTCCTGTGCCCAGGGAGCCCAAGCCTTCAGCACAGTGAGAGGCCACCCAGAGAGGCTGGAGTTGCCACCAAAACAGCCAACACCACCAGCTCCCAACACCCCAGCAACTACAGGCTTACCTAGGACAGTTAGGGCTTTGACCACATGCAAGTGAGAAATGTATGTTTATATGGACAAAAAAATACATGTGAGAAAAATTTCAAAGCCTCATCTGTAAAATTTCCACCTGAAAGTTATTTTCCTCATAGTTACAGCCTTTTAGAATGAGCTTATAATGAGGATACATGGTGCTCTCACAAAAAAGTGAATTATCTTCCAAACACCAAAATGAAGTGCCAAGCAGAAAACAGCATTCTGCACACTCTGGAATTAGGAAGTCTTAAGGAAAGGAATAAACTGTACTTTCACATTCATCATTAACCCTTACCAATTGGGTGAACAATAAGGTGTCATTTTATACAACACACTTTAATATGCAAAAGAGCAAATATTTAACTACAGTACTTACAGTTGCTCAACTTGGTCAAATTCTTTTTCATCTTCTGCAAAACAGAAAAAGGATTATGTAAGGTCTCAATTTAACAAACAGTAGAAAAGTTATGTTTAATTATATTATTTATTCCATGTATAAGCAAAACAAAGCCTTATTTTTTCATTTTATTAGTTTTCTTAAATTTGTAATTCAAATTATCTTGTTCCTCTATTCAATGGGATTACCTGCAAATTTGTCAAAAAACTTACCTTGCTCAAGTATTATTAATCTGATTTTAATACATGTTATATATTATATAATATATACCTATATGTATAAAATAGACAAATGCATATATCCATATAATACCATACATGTATAATACATAGACACATATATAGATAGATTTTATATATATGTCACTTCTGTTTCATCTTGCACATCTAGTTCAGCTCATCTATGTGTGCCTTAGGTGCAGGAACCAACATTAGTGCGTTTTAATTAGTTCTGTTTTAATGCATTTTTCGTTCTTACTCAATTTCTTGGCAGAATTTTCTCCCATCAAGACTACTAACAGTTGCTTCCATTCCTAAGCATTCCCCAAAGAAGTATAGCCTCTAAATTCCTTGTCTTGTAAGGAAAAAAAATACAGACTATATCAAACTCTTTATACAAAGTATTGTTTTTTGAAAGCACTTTGTACCTGAATTCTAGACTCATAGAAGAGATTTAAAAATCTAAAATAAGGCAATGTTGTAGAAGAAAGTATTTTATCAGAAAAAATACAGACATGAAAATCACACTGAAATTCATATATGAAGCGCTATGGCTCATACCTTTCTACCTTTGGCTGCAATTTCAATGGAAAGCTAGAAAAGACTAAAAAAAAGGACTTACCTGCACGTTTCTCTTTCTTTTTCGAATAGATCTCATAAAGGAAAACAATAGTTACTAAAATAACAACTTCTGCCACAATTGCCAGAAAGGGTTTGAGAGGCACCATGAGGGATAGAACTTTAAGCTTCAGCTGTCCTTTACTTTTCCCTAGTTCAAAAGCAGCTTCACACCAATATACACCATCATCTTCCTTGGTGAGCTTCAATATCTTCAGATGGGTTACACTGGCAGATATTCTATTAATTACATACTTGTCTGCCAGCAAAGAGTCATTAATGGCAATCTGAAAATAAAAAACACATAACAAGTCTTATTAATGCAATGAGAAGGTGTTTAATCAAATTATTTATATTATCAACACATAGTTCTATATAGACAGATGTAAAATGAGTTAAGAACAAGTGGCATTTGTGAAGCCTGTTTAGTCCACCTCCAAGGAAAGGATTTATTTTAGATGGCCACCCTGGTTCTCTTTACATTCAACAGCGGAAAATACACACTTAGTGAGCAAGTTGACTGAGACCCATTTTAGTCTAAGATCAGATGAAGGGTACCCTTGACTCTACTGACTCTCCACTGACAAAGGCAGCCTCAGGTGTCAGGATCTAATGTCCAGGTTTCACCACAGCACAAAGCATACACTGTCAAGAAAGGTGAGTTGGGAACACTGCTTCACTGATATGTCTTACAAGTCAATGCTACTCTCCAGTAGTATAGAGGAGACTGATGTATTTACCTCCTCTTCATTGACAGTGCTTACTCCAGAAAAGGGCTAGAACAAAGTGGCTATGCTTCCAAGGCTAAGGGGGATCCTGAAAGGTGGGTGTGTGAAGGAGGAAAACTGCTGCGCTAGATTTTTCCTCACAGCCTTTAAGGCAGAAGCTGAAGTGAGAAGATATTTCAGCTCCTTCAGAATCAAGTGGCACAGCGTTACCTCCACCACAGAAGGTTATCCTCCACATCAGGATAACCTCCTTCAGGTCCAGTGCCCCAGAGAGGTCTTACAGGCTGGGAAATACAGAAGTACTTGTACCTGGAGGAGGATGAAGAGAAGGGACATGCTCCTGTTCTCCCTCAAGTTTCCAATACCTTAAATGTCTTTTAAAAGAGTGTCCTGTTATGGTAAGATTTTTTTTGGTATCAAATAGTAAGATTTGAGCATCATTAATATAGTAAAGACAAGTATCTCAAGACTTACCTGATTTGTTTTACTCTTATCTCGGCTGTAAGAGTATGGCAGGGACTTTTTGGAAAAGAAACATCATACAAACCAGAACAAAAACAACATCCCTGTAGTAATGAATACTTCTAAATACCATATTTTTTTTCCCCATCTGCAGATATTTACATTAACTTTAAAGGAAAAGCAATTTGGAGAACCTACAGTGAAAAGTCATTATACTTTACAAAGTGTCTGTACTTGTTTTTTGCCACATTGTTTTGCTTGGCCAACAGACAGAAACCTTACCTGTTCACTTCCATTGGTCATATACCAAATCCAAGCAATGGGAGTATAGCCAAAGCTTTTACAAATCATTACAGCTGTATCTCCTTCATAACTGATTATGGGTTTTTCCCTTCCTTCAATTTTCGGTACTAAGAATAAATAGGAAAAAGTTCATCAAGTGAGATCTACAGGTTTTAATTACAGTATTACAAAAAGATGAAATATGTTTAGATATGTATTTATAGTAGTCCATTCATTTCCTTTTCCATAAACACAGATGAATCTATAATTCATGACATGATCTAAATGAAGAGTCATTTCAGGCTGATATTCCACATACAGAATTTGTGCAGAAGACTACAGGAATCCAGCTCTCAGCTGCTGTATGATCTTAAAAGTTGCCAGTTAATGCTGAAAACCAAGTGATAATCAGACTGATTTCTACCCTTGTCCACTTCCTCTTTCCAAAAAAAAGCTGTGAGCTACATGCTTCAGTTCTAGTACACTAGAAACAAACATACTAATTTTCCTGCAATTTCATTCAATCTGCAAAAACTGACAGAAGCCTATTCCAGCCACAATGCTACCATGTAATGTTATCTGGCAAGTTGTGCAGGTGGAGAACTTTTTTTGTAATTAAGACAAAACTGCAGATTGAGGGAGCTTTGTCGTTACAAACATTTTCTAAGGTGAAGTAATAACTTGTGAGTGCATGCCAGTAAAGAGGACTTTTGGTCCAATCTTGCTAACGACAGAACATGACCACAAGAAGCAAGACATCAGATTATAACTTAGAGCTACTTGTCCCAGCCATTACAACTGCAGATGCCCCACAGCATTCCAAGAGCAAAAGCCCAAAAAAAGCTGTTGAATATATTGAGGCATCCCACAAATATAGTTAGAGCTGAGCAAATATATCATGATAGAGTATGTATTTCCCCTTCCTCCTTCCTTCCCTCTTTATTAGGACGTTTACCAGCATGTTTTCCTCAGATCCATTTATTTTAAATTTTAGAGCAATGAAAATTGAAGTATCTTTTACGTCCAGATCCAGTACATCTTTTAAATTATATTGGTCACACAAGACTAAACAGGTCAAGAACTTGCTTTCAGCAGTTATGATGGATCAGTTTGGTACAAACTAAGATTGCTCTTGTTCCCTCCCCTTGTTGACTGGCTGAGCACAAATTAATTGTCCCGAAGAGTTCACTTCGCGTGAGTATTCAGACTGAAAAATTTCCATTCTAGAAATACATATGAAACCAATTTGTTAATAAAAAACACACTGCTTACAACCTCAGAATTTTCTGCACCAGATATCAGTCCAGCCATTACTAGTGAAGTCTTCTCACTCCATATGTATTTGTTGTAATCATTAAACACTATTCTTCTAAAGAGTAGTGGCAGAGTATCTTCACTGCTGTCAGTAAAAGGGACAACTTTACTAATAACTGCTACCACTTCCTCTGCAATTTATAGAACAGAAAAAAACAAAAGCAGGTTGGGAAAAAAAAAGAACATGTGAAAACAAATAAAAAACCCTTGTAAGCAGCACATTTTTATGTGGCAGTCAAAAAGATTTAGCCATGCTGATCAGTGCCAAAGCACAGCTATAGGCATACCAGCAATACCTTTACCACATGGCTATCCATCATGAGTTCTGGGATCAGCTCTGTAACAGACTGGTTAATCATTGAACGTGTGCAAGGAAATAATATGCTTTGTCCCAGGTATTTTTGCAAGTAGATCACCCAGAATTTGGTGGCAAAACACTGCTGCTGCACAGAAAAAACAAACTGTTGGAGATGAACAGACAGGTGACTGCACCAGCATTTATACCAGTCAGATTTCCACACTGGTTTAAGACCACAGTTGTTTCATAGCACACGTACCTGGACAGCTGCTTCAGGATCCCTCAACAAAGGGCGAACACAAATTAATCTACTCTACCCTTTAATACAGCTATTACAACACTTCACAACATTTAAAAATACCCGTGAATGGTCTCCATGTTTAATAATTTGAACTTTCTATAAGCATCTCAAAATGTTATGTTTTTCTGCAGACCTGGGTAAAAGCTCAACTCCTCAAAATCTGCAGGGTTATGCCAAGCCAGGATGTGGGGGAAGGGGAGGAGAAGCAACACATCCAATAGTGCCTAACTGCCTAGAGGAAAAGCTATTGCCATTAGTTACAGCAGTGATTACTTTAGCCACTTTAGACTGTATCAACACATTACTCATCCTTCAGTTTGAGAATTGTTCTCTCTGCATTATCGACTGGAAGATTCAAGGACTTCTCTTTCCTATTTCCTTCACTCTTGCATTAATCTTGAAAAGTCTCAAGCCAGTACTTTTTATGGCATCAGAAGTGGCAGCATTCAATCATTGTGAAGCAATTCTCCCATCTTTGAGTAATAAATCAACCAGCCCTAAGTACTGTTCTGGAAAAAATGACTTCCCTATTGAGTCATCCCTGCCCTTACTGAAATAGTTATTGTATACTTTGAAAAGAATAAGGTCTCCTTTGACTTTTTTAAATCTAAAAAGACTTGGGTAGCCATTCAACTAAACCTTACCCACGTGTTGACAAGAAAAATGTATAATCACTTTTAGAGATTAAAAGGTCTGAATAAACTACAATTTTGTCTTTCTTCAATCTAGTCTTCCCTGCCTGAAGGTTTGAAAGCAGGTATCAACATTACTATTCAAGACTTAAACATAGATGACAGTTTCCTCAAGTTGTATGACCAGATATCCCACTGAACAAAGCCAGCTTGCAGCACTGAGAATTACAAAGCCCTGCTGGTTAGTTCAGCTGAGGTTAGGGTAGTTATTTGAAGAGTTAGGGGTTTTAGGAACCTGTGTTCAGGAACAATCTTTCTTATATATCGGTCTGTAGAGCTTTCACAGACCAAATGCTCGCCTTGCTCTTTGCAAAATCTGGATGGTGGGAATAGAGAAGGGAATAGCTCTCACTAGAGATGAAGGTTCTCAGCAGCTTGTATTTGTTTCATTTCCACATGTCTTCCATTCCACTGGATTTTGCCTACTATTGTCAAGGGCGACATTATTGAAGAGAATACAGAACAGAAGTAAGGGCACTCATACTGCCCAATGAAGCACACTAACTTTTAATACAAGAGCTATTCTTACATTATATAGAATGGAAGATGCACTAAAGCAGTAACTTGGTCTTTCAGAAATATATCTGAATTTGTTCAAAAACCTGCTTTGATTCTGCCAATCATTGCTCCTCTTGTAACACCAAATCTCAGGCCAAACTTTCAAGTCACTAGTTCTGCTTTTTGAAGAATTTATCTGAGACACGATCCTCTCCTTTCCTCCCATCCCCTAGAAAGTGATGAGTATTCACTCCTGCTGTAGGGGTGGAGAGGGAAGAGGAAATCAGTTACTCATTTAGGAAAAAAGTAGGCTTATATATTCTTTTGGTTGTTAGCAAATTTTGTCAAAAAGGCTTTTAGTTTTTGCTTCAAAATTCTTCCTCCCTCCATGCTACAGAAATGACTTGGATAGTGATTCTCACTTAGCTTGACTATATTAGTCATGCTTATCAAATTAGGCAATTTCCATACTATCCACATACCATATTAATACAGGATTCCAATGGTCAAGTGAAGCAAAATTTAAAATAACTTGCCTCGTAAGAGAAACACAGCGCTGATTTCTTCTTCACCTTTCAGAGTACAACTGTAACTTCCCAGTTTACTGTTATCCAAGATCCACAATCTTAAAAAAAAAGTTTCACCAATTTGCTTTTTTGCTTGTATTTTCTTTTGTCCTACAACTATCAGTGACTGCTAATTAATTCTAAAGAAACCAGCAGAGATTAGTAGTGGAGCAGAGAACATGCATCGCCAAAACACAAGGATTCAGGTTTAGTGCAGTGTAGAAACAGCATGACATTTTTAAGAAAACAGAAGAGCACAAGCAGACCTGGGAACATAAATATAATTTTCACCCTTGTTGCTAACAGAAGGCCAAACGTCTTTAAGCAGAATGATCTACAGGCTACCAAATTAGACATGGGTTCACCATGTGAAGTATATAGCATATGCTATGTATGACTTCAGAAGAGATTATTTAAATGGTTTGTTCTTTCTAAAGCCAGTCAGTCAATGGCAAGCATAGCTCCAACAGAACAGTTTTAAAGAGCTGTCATCCAATGAAGCCCAGCATCTTCTCTGTTGGTAAACTACACATCTCACAGGCACTTTGAAAAAGATTTACATAGTTGTGTGTGTAAATTGAGTAGAAGAAGAGTGACAGTATATTCTCATCACATTTTATATCATAGAAATTTTATATAAATATTACTGATGTTAAGAAACCAAAGCAATGCAGAAATCAACTGGAGACTGCCTGGTTAAAATCAGCCCATTCACAGATTTTTAAAGGCCAACAGTAAGTTATATCAATTGAAGAAGATTTTCTAAAACATTTCTGGAGTCTCTGGAGACGTTTGAAAGAGTTAAGAAAACCTTCAAAAAAAATCAAAAACATCTTTACTGCAAAGCTAATTTCTTCTCTCTCTTTTGCTAACTATGAAGGAAAAAAAACTGGCCATTGACGCCTTTCAGACTTCTACAAAGCAGCACTGAGGTGGAAATGTGAGAATGTGGAAAATGGGGGAGTGGAAAAGAAATTGATGTATTTTAGCAATCTCAGACTGAGATTACACTTCACTTACTGAACAGAATTACTGGACCTCAAAGAACTGTGTCCTTATTCTATATTCTTGTCTTGAAGAAACCTTGTTTTTCCAGCACTAGAGGAAGAACAGGAGCTCCTCCTCCAGGCTCGAGGTAACTGCAACCTTTTTCCTTTCCTGCAGCTTTAATATGTTGATTAGGGGCATGTATTAATCACTGCATTTGGCTCTTTTCTAATATAAACATGACTAGTATTGGGCAGTGTATATGCATGTGATAATAACTCCTTAGAACCTGCAAGTCAACCTGTAAAGAATACTACTTACTGGATGCTCCAGCTGTTTTCAGTTTTATTGATGTGTCTGATTGTTTCATTTCCCCTCTTCCAAGTCACTTGAAGACTTTTCAAATGAGAATATTTATTGTCCAATCTGCATGAAAGTTCAATTCCAGTTGCACTGTCCAAAGTGATATTTTTTTCCACAGAAGTACCAGAAATACCTAAAAAAGTTTAAAAAATTGGTAATGAAAAACATATTACTTCATTCTGGGGGAAGAAGAGATTCAAAGATTGTCTTACATATGCTGGATTACAGGCGAATACAGTGTGCTGCTGTTATACTTTCCAGGGTAAAAAACTGCAAAATCAGTGCTTGACAGTAATTTTCTTAAGCCATAACTGAGTTATGATACACATCCACTACAAAAATGACACAGTCATTCCATTCTGTAGGTAAACTTCCCACAGGGCTCTAATATAGAAACATAGATATCCATTTCACTGAAAGCAAGACAGACCTATGTGTCTACATAATTTAACCCAAACCAAAATATATTAAGTACTTAGGTCTCACCAAGTGGAACAATATCTGCTCTCAGTCTAAACGTCCTTTTTGACTTCACATTTGGTATTAAAAAAGCAGGATTTATCTGGTTAAAAATATTAGTAAATATATAAAAAGTTATATTAA